CCATCAATTTGTCTGCAGACGTACCTGTCTTAACCTTTTTTGGTGGTGGAGAAAACTTTGTATGATACTCTAAAGAAGCTCTTTTAGTCAATGGTTCATGATAGAATACCCATGTTACTAAAAAAAAGCTTTCAGTTGCCTGTGAATATTGATTGCAATAACTTGCTGTGATGCAAGAAATTGAATAATTACTCTCTGCTTTATACAATCATTCATACCATGACACCACTGAAGTCTCAATAACTTTTCATTTAGGGATCACAAGTTGTGAAAGTTTTTTAGTGATAGGGCATTAATGAATTCACTTTCTATTAATATTGATAACATAGGCCTACAATGCACTGTTTTAAAATTACAGGGAAACGGGTAAAACTTTCAGGTTGATCCTAATATATATATATATATATAAAGCATACGTAATAAATCAATTACTATTTCTATTTCTTATAAAAGTTTATTAATAAAATGTATCATTATTTTCGTATTTCTTATAATTGTTTATAAATGTATTGTTGCTTGTTTTTAACGATCTATTTTTGACTTTGACTGTATTCATATATACAGTATATATATTTAAATACAGTAAATTTATATATAAATATAGAAAGGGTCAAGGTTAAAAAACACAACAGACTTTAAAATGACAAATGTTTTTACATATAAACTGATAGTAATAATAAGAATAATTGGAATATTAAGAATGTTTAACAATAAGAGTCTCTCTTTTGCACATCTACTCTGAAATGTTTCCTGCACTGAAGAGGAAAGCATCACTCGTACTGCAATACTCATTATTAAATAACACCCAATTATGAATTTCTTTTGAAAGTAATTTGTAATTTACACTTCATACTGTCTTTAATAGTACTTTGTATCATTGAATAACTGCTAACATTTCGAAATTCCATCGTCATTGTTTTTATTATAAGTGATGCTTCTCATTAGCGTTTTTTACAATCTATTTTTAGTCCTATGCTATAAGGAATTTTTTCATACTTTACATAGAAAACACATCGTTTAAGTCGAGTTAAATATAGCAAAATGTAATTCGGAATGAAATACGAAGAGAATAGGAGAGAGAAAAGGGAAAAGAAAAAACTTATTCATTTATATAAACTGATATCAATTTTACTAAAATGATATATAAAGGAGAAAGTAGAAGATTGTAATACATATAACGGAATATACTACTAACATACACTACTGTCTTTTTTATACCTTACGTCATCATTAACCTTGATTCACAAGATTTACAATTTATACATATCTTTTGATTTAGTTTTTTAAGTCTTGTTATAATATTTTAAAGGCATATAAATGAAAGAAATAAATAAGATACTTTACTTGGAAATGACAAATTCCTCTTCAAATAGTGGTGTAAAGATAAACAATACTCTGTGTGTATGTGTGACTGTCCTTTCTTCTCTTCCTACTCCTTTATATTTATTTATTTATTTATTTATTTGGATTTTTTGTATGGCTAATAATATATATAGTATTACAATCTATATATGGTTGTTGACTAGTTCTTTTAATGAAGAAAATTAAAACTAATAAGTCAAACATAATTAAAGTTTCTCTAAAAAGCAAAAACAAAATAGCAAAATTGGAAAAAAATTATGGGAATATGTTAGATTTTATAAGGAAATAAGAGTGTGCTTATTGTATTTAAGAACGTACGGGTAACTACGATTTAATTCTCTTTAAATTAGCTTCAAATCACTCTAATTATAAAATGTGTTTTTCGTTAGTAAGGTATCTTATAATGTGATATTTTATGCTTTTCATTTTTTGTTTGTTAACACTGAAAGCATAGGTATCAACGTTTAGTGTTTCGTATACTATCCTACTTGACTAGGCTGATAATATCCGATTAAAAAGTAGGTTACTTGAACTTTTCAATAGTTAATAATATATTATATACTGTATGTAGATACAGGAGCACTTTGATAAATACAGTTGGCGAGTTGTTATTTAAAAGGATTTTCAAAGTAGAAATAACTCAAAGAAACCTTTAGGTGTTCGTCACCTATCCTAAGGAGAAGACTGTATAAAATGTATATAAAGTATATATATACACCTTATAATTTTGTTGATATCTTTATAAACCCATTAGTAAAACATACCAGGCTACATATGATAATTCAGAACATTCTTCCTTCTAATCCCCTTCTTTGCTCAATTCGTTCTCCTATTTTTGTATTATTGTCTACTAATGCGAAAATATTTCTTCTACATTCCCTTATTATCATTTGTTTATCCTTTTGCACTTTGACTTCTCCATTAAATGTCCCAAAGGATACTATTTTTAATAGAACGAAATAGAGTAAAGAGAAGATATTTTGTTTTAGCTAAAATTCTCAACTCATGTTTATGAATCATAGAGTTTGTAAAAATAGAAAACAAAACATCGAGCTAAACAAACAAACGTTACGGAGAGATAATTTAATAAGAAAGCCCTGTAGGAAAACTATTCAATGAATATAGTTAGAAGAGGAAGAACATAGTTTAAATAAAGAAATTATGGTGGAAAGTGTAGGAGAAAATAAAAAGAAAAAAAAGAACTGATTTTAATAGAACAAGATACGTAAAGAAACGGCGTACAATGACTAATGTAAATGAGGAAATCTCTTTTATCTAATAGAAATTCAATCGTAAGCATGTATACTTTAAATAAGTATATGGTAATACGATGTTTATAAATGATCTACTTTCATATGTTACCCTTAACACATTTATATCTTATATATCGTTATTACTACGGTACTAAGGGCTCATTGTGAAAATTATTAACCGTTAATTAATTACATATACTTTTTACTTTTACTTTTTTTTATTCAGGTTAATTTATGTTTCTACTATGTAAGAATTGTTATTACATTATATTTTCAATATGATAATAAGCCGATAGAGAACAAAGCAAGAATATAGGTTATTATTTTGGGGGATTTACGTTATATGTGCTACTCCTTTAGTAATTCACTCTTTCAGTCTCATTTCCCAGACTCTCCCCACTCCCTCTCCTGTCTCTGTCACTCTGCCTCTTCAAGCAAGTATTTGACAAATTAAAGCATATAACCTGTACACGGTGCTTTTGTAAAAAAAAACAAATAAATGCTGGAAAACGGTCTAAATCCAACTGTTGATAGAAAATAGAAATCATTAAATAATTGCAGCTTTTCTAATAGAGTACAATAGTGGATAATATGCATATATACACACATATATATATATATATATATATATGTACTGTATATGTATAAAAGTATCTTTTATACCAAATCATTGTTATTTATTTGATGGGAAAATAGTAGATTCTTATTGCCTATTTAGTAGATATGTTCGATATAATGGATCTAATAGAAACTAGAACTGCACTCTTATTCTTAATTATTATAAATCCATTTTTTTTCAGTTAATAATAAAAAAGAAACTACAGTAAAGTGTAAAATTTGTGAGTGATGTGCTTTATAAATAAGCATAATGAGTAAATTTTTTACAATAATTAGGACAACTGTCTTGAGAATTAATAATTTGAACTGACAACATAAGAGAAATATTTATATTAATTATTTTATTTATTAATTAGTGCAATATTTTGCCATACCTTTGCTGATTTTTTATATTTTAGAATTTTGCATCCTAATACACTGATTAATAAGCAACTCATACAATTGTCTTGTATTTATATTGTATATACGATATAAATACATTATTATATACTATCAAGTACGAACAGTGGATACCTATAGTACCGTATTTGAAACACTTCTTAATAAACCTTTAAAATATATTACATAAGTAGTATATAATGTAGAAAAGTTAGCCTTAGCATTTTTTCAATTAAAAACTATAATAGTACAAGAAAGAAGAAATACTATAGACTATAATAAATAAAGTAGAAGGAAGACTGTAACCTTATCTAAATATGTATACTTCTATCATGTTCTCTTTCCTTTATTTCTTACTACGTCAGCTGTTGTGAGCAACTTTACATTTCCATGAAAATAATTAGTAGAACGAATAGTTTCTTGTGAAACAGAAGACGTTAGAAAATACTAAATAAACAACTTTTCGATACAGGTAAACAAATAAATAAGCTAAAGAAGAAGAAGAAGAAGAAGAAGAGAAAACTATAAATACTCTCTATACAGACAAACTTTAAATATCAATGTATTACTTTATTTGCATATTATACATAAGAAATCATATTAATAAAATATAAGTGTGTATTATGAGCTTAAACAGCGTGATCAAGTGTCATTAATAATCATGCATGTATACAATATTTTTGATATCAATCTTTTATATTTTTTATATATATAAATATATATACTGTATTTGTAAATATGTATCGTATCATGAATTTCGTATTAAAAAAAACATAGATAAATACAGAACAAAAGAGAACTAGAGAGAGAGAGAGAGAGAGAGAGAAAGAGAAATTTATAAAATGCATAATAATATGAGATAATAGTCAAATTTGCCTCATTTATAAAGCAATATTATGCAATTGTACGAGAGACATTGATATTCATTTTTCTTCATAGCTTTTTTTTATCATAGTTTTATAGAAAATATACAGTAAAGAATCATAAAATTTCAATTAACTACTTTGAATTTAAAAGAGCAAAATTCAAAAATTATCATATAAAGAGAACTATTCAAGTAAACTTTATCCAAGATGTATCTGCATATATATGTATATACTGTTTTAATAGTTCTTATTGTGTTTATTTCTTTTTCTTTATGTAAAAATAATATTCAATTCTCCTTAAATTTACAAAGTAAGATTTGCTAGTGAAAAGAAACAAAAGATTTCCATACAACTGTGTTATATACAGTTTATACATAATATACACTTTGTTTAATAGTTATTAATATTTAAAATATTCTCAAAAGGCAAAGAGACAAAATTGGATAAGAAAAACATGAAATACCTTATAGTTTTTTTTTGTTTTAATACATAAAATAATGATATATAAAGAAAGAGAAAGAGAGAGAGAGAGAGAGAGAGAGAGAGAGAAATTTAAAAAAAAATACACAGGATAAAGTGAAAATGGAAGAAAAACCGGTTTCATAATTCAGTCGGCTTATTCCTCATTTTCTCAGTTTCTGATTCTTTTCCTAAGCTTTTCCTTTGGCATGTTCGTAGCAATTGTATGGAACTTCGGCGATGATTTACATCAATTATTAAACAGAATAACGAATTGAATGAAAATTGTACGGTATTTGCCAAATTTGCTAAGCTTAATGAAAATCTAAATGCTAGGGAATATTCGTGATCGCATATTAAGAGATCAACTAAATCTAAAACCTCACTAGGCGTTGCCAAAATGGCAATCATCAAAGCCAGAACAATAGCCGCTATAAGAGCTCTTCTGGTAGCCTTCTTCGTCCTAGTACTTTTTGAAATGGAACATGTTCTTAATTGCTTAGTTATTAAAACAAAGCAAAAGCAGAGGATTACTAGTGGTATAAAAAATCCAATTGTTGACCAGGCTAATTTATATGCCAACTGCTTGCTCTCTTGCTTAGATGCACCACTCTCTTTTGGGACTATTGTGGACCATTTTGTACCATTCGTATTATTCCATCTGTGCGACTGCTGTGTAAGAAAATCTGGAACGTGTCCTAAAACACAAATAAAGAAGAGCGTTAGAGTGGCCGCTGATAAATATCGAGGATGCACAATTATTGCTGCCAAGTCACTCCAACAAATGCAGCAGTAATGGCATAGTACAATTAAAGTTGCCAATAGAACGGATAATCTGGATAGCATGTTCAACATTGCCGTACTATATAGGGCGTAGTAAAATGTGAAATTCTTTTCTTCAAACCAAAACCGATTCGCGTCTTCGCTTGCTTTTGGTATGGCCATTATGCATATCAGAAAATTAGACATTGCCCAAGATGTTAAACAAATTAATAACGACCTCTCGATCGATATTCTAATATAAGAACTATGATTTGGCCATTTTTTTGAGCGTCTAGCCTCCTCCGAGAAAACTATACGCGATGTGAATACAACAACGTTTAAGAAGTTTCCTAAGACGCCGCAACAGCTTATTAGAGGTATGGCAATATGATCAATAACATTAGTTCCCGTCATTAAAATGTTTGAACCTCTTGAATCTGTGAGAAAAAAGAAAACTATAAATAAAATTGACTATATCTCTATTATCTAGACTATTTTTCAGTTGTGTTTCAAGTATATTTCTTTATCTTAACCATTTTAAAATGTCCCAGACGGTTAGGTGGTTTTTGTGTTGTTATTAATAATATATTGTTTTCAGTTCCGTAAACTTGCTATATATTGTCTATATTATGCTTAGAATAACAAGAGCTTAAAAACAATTTTGACAAAGATAAAAGAACAGAAAACAGTCTGAAATATGACCGCTTTCCTTTTCATTCCGATGAATAGCATTTGCTGGCGATCACTTATTTATTAAGTACAAAAACTTGGAATATTTTTAGATAACCATCACTATTGAAATAATATCAAAGATTTAAAATTTCTCATATCAAACATCCAAAAGTTATTAAGGGATATTAAATGAAAATGACTTTATCCTTAGCATTAAACTCTTTATTTCCATGGCTATGTAAGCTATTAACATTCAAAGTATAAAAATGAGTATATCGATAAGAGGGAACGAGCGAAAGAGAGAGAGACAGAGACAGAGAAACGCTATCAAATGAAGATAAATCCTTTTCTCTCTCTCAAATGAATTTAATTTAAAATTATTTTGACATTAAAAGAATTCATATTTCTATAATCGGAACTAATTGGATGCAAGCATATATATTGTATAAATTATTTTACATTGTCAATATTGAAATACATCATGCAAAAAAACAGAAAATGAAAATTCTTTTGATTTCTATCGTTAATCCATAAGAATACTGTTGGAGTTGAAAGAGTATTTAAAAAAAAATATTGTACTTTCTACCTCTGCAAGTATCTTCGATTTTCGATTATCAATAAAATAAAATATAATAATCTAAAACTTTTAGAATACTTTGGTTTTTTTTTTAAAAAGAAAACACCGTAGGAAAGAAATTGCTTTTATGCAGTTTTAATATATATAAAGTATATACTATACATGTAGGACAAAGTAAGGGCGCTGAACGAGTGGACAAGATTTGAAAATAAAAGTGAAGCCATTAAAAGAGTAGAAAAATTAGAATGATAAATAGTACAATTTTGTCATTAGATAGCAAATATGGAGAGAAAATGGGATAATTATCTACTTTAGATAAAGTTAAAAGAGTATATAATTATTAATTTCTATGTTAAAAGTATAAACAAGGTCAGTATAATTATTATACCCATATAGTTTTTACAAATGTAAATTTATTATTGTCTACTGTCTGCACTATAACAAATATTTTACATTCAATACTGATTATTGAAGATACTATTACATAAATTCATTTATTACAAAGTCATCCATCCGCGTAAATAGAACTAGAGAGAGAGAGAGAGAGAGAGGGAAAGAGAGAAAAGGAGAAAGAAGGAGAGAAATGGAATAAATAGAGCAATTATATTATTTCGATACAAAACAACAAGGAGAAAAATATAAAAAAAAAACTTTAATAAAAAAGTACACAAATAAAAAATTATAACAGAATTTATTCTATAACGCAAATATATTTTAACTAAGTGGAACAAATGGAGCAAAAGTAACGTGTATAAAGAAAAGAAAACGCTTATATTTCTGTAACCAATTGAATAAAGTATTGTGTAGATAAGCAAAATAATAAAAAAGACATTAAAAACATTTATTATTAAAATAAATATGAAAAAAGCCTAATTTCTCTAGCAAGAAATAACAATCAATTATTCTTCTTTGTTTTATATATAGTATCTCTTTCTCTCTCTCTCGCTCTCTCCAGTGTTCTTGCTGTACACATATATATATATACATAGAGTATATGTATAGTGTGTATATGTATCACATGTTGCCTTAACATCTCTTTCATTCTATTCAAAGTATAAACTTTTAGATAGTTAACTGGTAAAAGAGAAAATACAGTTATTCCCTTCAAATACATTATTGGTAACTTTATGCTATAGATTCTTGTATTAATACATTTTAAAGATATTTAAAACACTCTTATAGAAATATGATACATTTTACACATCATATTCTGCTTTTCATCAATATAAATGTCATCAAGATTTTACCTTTTTCTTTCATATTTCTCTTTTGCTTTGTTGTGTTTATCCTAATATTTTTTATGCCCAAAACTTGTTTCATTAAATATTAGTAAAAGTGCGAAGAAGAAAAATAAGGATAGAATATAAAAACGGTTTATTTAAATCTTCCTACTTCTTCTTCTTCTTCTTTATTGAGGTGTTTTAATTAAAAAATATCAGTATTTATTCTTTATATTTTTCTTATTCTACTTATTACGATTAGAATTCCTATGTTCAGTGCGTAAAGTTTAAAATGTAATTTATTATCTTTAAAGGGGAGGTGAGAGGAAGGCAGAAAAACGGGAGGAGAGAAGAGAAAGAACCGAAAAGATTTAATGCTATTCATCTTCAGTTGAAAATATTATTTTATACCTTTTTCACTAGCTAACTTACTATTATTAACTAACATCTCAGTATATTCCATTTATTTATTACTCTTTTCTAACTATTAATAAACTACTACGATACCAATAAATAAATACCGTTTGACGGGAGTCGATTTTTCAAAGTAATATTGTCGCATTCGAGTATCATAGTGAAACTGACGCTCAGATAGAAACAACTAAGGAAACTGCCACTGGACGGCGTATGTAGACGGCTAATAGGCCTAATATAAATGGCGTCACATTTTATAAATGAAAAAAAATCATAATAATTGCATAAATTTTTCAAAAATAAGAGAGAGGATATAAAATTCTTATAGAAAATGATGAATTTGTGTACAAGTTTGCCTTGTAAGAATAATGGAAAATGTACAATGGACTTTAATAATAAAAACTTTATCTGCGCATGTCCAATTACTTATTCGGGTGAAAAGTGTCAAAATCCTACTAAATGTTATAATCATTTATGTAAGAATAAAGGACGTTGTTTATTATTAGGTAAACGAGATAGGAAGAGAAACATTTGCATTTCCTATTGTACAATTATACTGTATATAGATAAATATATAGACGTAATCCTCTATAAGTGTATACATACATACATATATATATATATATATATATATATATATATATATACTGTATATATACTGTATATATACTGTATGAAATTGAAAATTTAAGCCAAGTTAATTACAGGAGAACATGCCGCCTGTGCTTGTACACCCGATTATTATGGAAATATGTGTCAATTTAGAAAGACTATTGGACAGGGGAGAAAATGCGACCAACATCCTTGTAGTAATCACGGTGTTTGTGTAGGTATATCCTCGTCTGTTGGGTTTAGGTTAGTAACCTTCAAATACTGTTTTACCTTTTCTTTTTTCTTTCCTCCCCTCCCCGCTACTTTTACAAATCCCTTGCTTTCACTTAGATGTATATGCGCACCGGAATTTCTAGGCGCCTTCTGTCAAATTGCAGTCGATAAATGTTGGTTGAAACCGTGCAAGAACGGTGGCCACTGTTATGCTGTTGATCAGAAATACGTATGTTATTGTTTACCACAATTTAGCGGTGAAAATTGCGAAGGTTTGTTACTGTTTTTTTTCATCTTGAAAGTAAATAATAATAATAAGAATAATAAGGAAAAAATGAATGTTTTTCACCATTTTCTGACGTTTTCTAAGTAAAACAAAGTAAATATCTTAACTTGTGTTAAAGAGAGTAGAAATTAATGAAAAACCTGTTTTTATTTACTTTTACTTAAAATGTTTTAATAATAAGAATTTAAACAAAAAGATAATAAATTATTCCATCTGTTTATTGCAAGTAATTTTCTCAAAATTATCAATTTCTTTGTAATACGAAATTTAATTATATCTCTTATAATGGATTTACAATCAAATGTAATTGTTATTTCATTTATTGTATCTTGTATCTACTACTTTTGCTTAATGATATTCCTTACGAGTTTTCTTGAACATTTTATAAGTTTTATATAAATAGATAAAAGACACTGTCAAATCATCTAGATCTTTTACATGTAGTATAATGAGAAAGTTAACAGCTAATAATCATAGTGCAATGTTGACAAAAAAGGGAATTTTGACGACTTTAAGCATAATTCCCTAGTGCATAAAAATTACAAACACCATACCTCTATAATTATCTATGTAAAGTAGGATTTTTAGAAAGAGAGAGACAGATAATTGAAATGCTACATAATTAATTGTTTTATCTTTTTTTGTATTATATAGTTTTGTTTTTCTAGTGGAAAAAGTGTTTTCTTTTTTAAAATTTCGATAGTAGACTCCTTTCCTCTCCTTTCCCATCCCCCTGTCAATATTTGATTACTTTGGCTATTCAACTATATATCTTTATATATATATATATAAATTTATATATATATATATATTCTTTGTTATTAAACTAGTAGGAAATATCTTAATTAATAATTGATTATTAAACGTTTGATGTTGATAAAAATAATAAGCATAGCATATAAAAAATGTTTAATAACTTTTTACCGTAAAATTTCTTTCTTCTGTCTTTTTCTTTATATACCTTAAGTAATAAGTAAATTAGACTTTATTAATAATAATAATAATAATAATAATAATAATAATCTTAATAGTAGTAGTAATAATATTATAATAATATTAATAGTTAGATATACAAATGATTTTTCCCCAACCTTCTTTTACTTCTCATATTCGACCATTTTTCATCGGAGGAGAACGATGAAAAAGGGTTGAATTTAGGAAAGTTTTTCTCTATATGAAACATCAAGAGTTGTGGGAGGGAATCATGGTAAAGATAGATAAAGGAAAGGCGGATATATCTAGTGTTTATGATCAATAATAATTATATGTTTTCCTCTTTCTTTTCAGATTTTGGAAGTGGAAAACTGTTTGTTGTTAAAAGCACAAGTAAGGAATTAGAGTATTATTTTCAACGATTGTTTACATACATATATATGTAAACATATTGTTTACATAGACAAATTATAGTTTTGTTCTAAAATTACAGTTATTTTTACCATCTATAAAACAATAATTAGATTAATATACTAATGAATAATATCTACTAAATATTCAGTATGTATGTTTACTTTTCAATTGATCTATTATATATAATAGATCTTATAAGTTAATTTCTTTATATAAGAACCTCCAACATATACAATTCATTTATCTGTGTAAGTTTATTAAATTGTCCTTTATTTACATATTTAATTCTTCCATTTATTCCTTTTTCTATTCCTTCCCTAAACTGTACATACATATATATAGTATTTATTCATAATGCTTTTAAATGAAGAAAGATTGCACTACTTATTCCCCTTCTCAAGTTTCTTTTATTTAATATTTTATTAGCTATTATTAAATTAATAATTATGAGTTTTCTAATTTGATTAATAAGCTTTTAATATGTTAAATCCCAAATGATTATTCTTAATCGAATAGGCTTTGTTTTCCTCTGTACTAAAAAAAGAAATCAGAAGCTTGAGCAAATGAAGTAGAAAGCGAAAAATGGTGTTTGTATGTTTGTACAGTATGTATGTATTTATATTTATTCCTGTGTGTGCGTATGTGTGTGTTAGCGTGTACGTAAGAGAGAGAGACAGAGAGAGAGAGAGAGAGAGAGAGTAACTAAAAGAGTGAGAAGGAGAGAATAAATGGAAAGGAAGAAAATGAATTTTCTAGATGAGTTATAATTTGCAAAGCTGCCTTTGTTAAAAAATAAATAATCTGTCTTAACAGTTTACGGTCAATTTTACTATAAAGATTTCCAGTATTGGTTCATTTGGGAGTTGTCTTTCGCACAAATACAGGTGGACTGTCTTTCTTTTCAATATCCCAAAATAAGCATATTGTTTCAGATGACATACTTCTTACTAGCTACGTTTATGTTTTTTTTTCTTTTGTAAAATATATAAATACAGTGAAAGAAAAATTCATTCACAGTTATACTTACTGCTATGCTTAATTATAACTTCTCGAAAGATCTTGATGAGTAAGACTTATCTGTACCATCTAACTGTTTATTAATCTTTATTTATACTTAACTACTGTTGTATATTAGCCTAATTTAAGTCCATAATTGAGGTGTAAATATAATATTTTGTACGGTTAAAAGTAATTTTTACTGTTTGTTACTAAACTATGAATAATTTATGTATTTAGTAAAAGTTTTAAAATATTTAATCATATTTTTCCCTTTTAATTAATCAATTAATCAATTAGTTAGTTAATTAGTTAGTTAGATAATTTTACAAATACTGTATGTACTATATAAATGAAAATTAATTAGTATTTTCATTGCTATTTTCTATCAGTTTATAGGATTAATACTGGATTTTTGTATAGAAATCTTAAACAGCTATCATCGTCAATATTTCCAATGCAAAGATCAATTTATTGATTTTTTTTTATAACTCATAATTGTATAGTTTATTAGATTTAATAGCACAAAGTTACGATTAGACATAATTAATTTGTGCCTCATTTTCCCTCAGCGTCCAACTTTCATCACTGGTCATTACTTGTTGTGGCAATATTTGTAGCAATTCTACTTGTATCAGCTATTATTACATTTATTTTTCAATGCTTTAATCTTTTGAGAAGGATAAAGGGAAGACGTAGTTGTCCTGTTTGCGAAGAAGGTGGTAAAGATATGACTAGAATATATTTGGACGGTCACTGGCACTCCATTGACAAGATTATCAGTGAAAAGTTCAAGATTGATGGTAACGTATTAAATTGCAATATTACTTATTTTTCATTCCTCGAGCTAGTTTACTTAATTAAGACGATAGAAAGAATCAAATATCTGAGCTGGTAAAAAATGAGGTCAAGAAGGAAACACCAACATCTAAAAGAGTCGAATGGAATATAGAATCTAAAAAGCCAGAACAAAAACTCGACAAGTCTATAGAAAAAAATTTTCTGTAAATTTTCTTCGTAATTGATTCTAGTCTTAATTAATTTAAATAATGGGTGACGTCTTCTGCGATACCCAATCGAAAAATCTCGTTGTTGATTGTCATAAGAATTTTCTGTATGAGTGAATTTTCAGAAGAGTAAAGGATGAGAGTAAAGAACTTGAAGAGGTTTCGATCGTTAAAAAGAAAGTAGGCGATACATTATCCGACGAAGAAAAGATTGGAAAGTCGACTGGAAACAACAGGAATATGGCGCCCAATAATTCAATAAAGTACGATGTGAAAAGGGAGAATGGGAACAGAGTAAAAGTGTCTATGGACGCGTTAATTTCAAAATCGAGTGGTAAAGAGCTCAGTCAGTCAGGAAAACGCAGTCTTCCATTTGCGAATGATGACGAAAATCAAACGCAACGAAAATCCGTTGGCTTAAATACATCAAAAATCTATGACGGCCCCCTTTTAAAGACAGATCCAAATTATATAAAGAACAACACATTAGCCAGTTTTGATGATGAAAATCAATTAGTTAATAAAGATAACCAAAATATTAAAAATAAAGAAATCAATGGGAAAATAACTGAAAATCAATCGTCTATTGTTGATCCCAGACGTAAATTGAAAAAATTGAAATCCATTACTTTTAATGAAGTTAATAAAAAAGACGTTAATTTTGATGATAATAATCTCGAAGAGAAAAATGCACAGGATGTCTTAGAACATAGACTTTCTTCAATAATCAAAGCTAATGAAAATAGTCCACAAAAAATTGAAAAGGATAAAAAATTAGCATCTAAGATGACATTAACTTCCCAACCTTATTCCGGTCGTTTCTTGAAAGCTGACCCTAGGTTTAAAGAGAAGGAAAGTAACATGAAAAATCAATTGCATTTTGCAGGAAAAAATATGGACACGAACGTAACAAGCAATCAAAACTAAGGTTACAAGAGTAATCCCAGCTCTTTGTTAGTCTGCTTTTGCCTGTTTTCTATTTTTATTATATAATATATTCTACAATTGAAAATTGTTGTTTAAACTATAAGAATTATTGAAAAGTGTGCTTTTTATAATGGTAATATATTAGTACAGTAGTGTTCAAACAATATTATATATACTAATATATATACATATATATTGTATATATACTGTACAGTGTGTATAAAGAGTGTTAAGTACGCATACTATTTTCAGGTAAAAGTAACATATACTAAAATGAAAACGATTTTAGATAGACAGATGGAAAGCAAATCTAAAGCGTTTTCTACCTAAAAATAGATTTCTATACCTCTTTTCAGAATAATGCATCAGTTTTAAGCTAGTAAATATTATCTTCATTGCTATAAATGTAAGAGAATACTGTTATCTATTCAAGACAAAATTATCTTGACTTTATAGTTTTACTAAGAGGCTGTCGTGTTTACTTTTTCAGATTTTATCTTTACAAGTTTGGCATTGAACTAAGTCTATTTTTACATCTAATAAAAAGATAAAACTAATCTATATATAACATTTACAGTTAAAAAATTTCTTGAACTATAATTACGATAGACTCGCCTTCATTCTCTCTCTCTCTCTCTCCCTCTCTTTCTCTTTCACACTCTCCTCCTCCTCTCACTCTCTCAACCTACCACCTTATTATAATATTCAAATTAGACTAGTGAAATGTAAATTTAATTTGAAAAAAGTAATAAACCAAGACCAAGAAACTTTTAACTGGGCGAATTATACCGAAAACGTAACTTTTCTTTTTATTCTTATCGATTATAGAGAGGAAAAAGAGGGGGCGGAGCAGACGAGGGAGAAGATCTGGCTACAAGTACATCTGAGTTTAAAAATGTGTATCAATTTCTATAAAGAGAATGCATTTTTAAGAGAGGGAGAGAGAGGGAAGGAAGAGGAAGGAAGGAAGGCAGAAGGGAAAGGAAGAGAGGGAAGGGAAGGGAAGGGAAGGGAAGGGAAGGGAAGGGAAGGGAAGGAGAGAACGAGTAAGAAATAAAAAGGGTAAGGGAAAATAATACGAAGAATAACTATTAAAATGCTTGATTTTAATAGCTCAAGGACATAAGAGAGATTTGAAAGTTAATGGACGAAGTAGATGAAATGATATATATCGAAGTTATCTGTCAATTTCCATTATTCCTTGAAATAAAATAAAAAGGAAAACGTTTTGTGTGCCATGGAAGAAGAAAAATTCTTATTCATAGTTGAATGAAAGTAGCATATCTTTTTATTTACAGGGATTAATGTACAATCAGTCAAAAAAGTCAATTTACTTTAACACTAAAAGAAATTATCTGTTTGATGAAACATTATGTTTTCAAATATCAAATATTTTAATTTACTCTAATGTTCGTTTTTGTCAGAAAGAAGAGAGTATTAATTCTTTAGTCATCTTTCGATTGCGAATACCTTATACATATTAGGGGGTACATTGTTCTTATACGTCTAACATATGAAATTAAATAGACCTGCTAATATCATAAAAGTATATAAATAGTCTATAGATACGTTTCTGACTCCATCTCTTCGTTCATCTTTTACTGTCAGTAACTCAATTAAAAGCCACAGGCCAAATCTAAGAGAGTATAAGTAGATCTTTTTTATACTCATTTTTTTTCCAAGAAGTCTATAATTCCAACACGTTTTATATTGAGTTGATGATCTTTATTGGAGAAGCAAATCATCTCCTCCAATTGATATTCTTCTGTCTCCATCTTCTTATTACGTATAAATTTAACTAGCAATAAAAAAATGACGTGTAAAGGCGATCTCTTTTTCTTTTTTATTGTTTCCTAGAAATTCTAAGTATTAGTTATTAAATTACATCATTTTTACCTATTACAGTTAACAGTTTATATAAACGGACAGTGGTGAAATATTCGCGGTTATTACTATTCTGGTGAAATCAGTCCACACGTTTCTGACTACAGATACGTTATAAGACATCAATACGTCCAAGAGATGGCGGTAACGGTAGTAATAACTGTACAATTTCACTTTGACACTCCTTCTCTATGATATAGTTAAAACTAAAAATTATGTTTATTACTTAAACATTCATATTTTGAAAGTTGGCTGCAAAAAATAAGAAACTATGCACGGAAAATATAGAGAAAAAGAGGGTTAAAACATATGAAAGAAGAAGAGAGGAAGAAAAGAAGAAAGAACGAATGAAAGAAATGCAGACAGGCAAAAAAGAATAGAAAAGAAGAAGATGAAGACGAAAAAGAAGAAAAAGAAACAAATAAATAATGAAAGACAACAAGGATAAATAGATAAAGCCATTGAGTTAGTAGGAATTTATTCAGAATAAAATAAGCGCCAATATTTTATGGACAGACCAAGTTTTGAACTTATAAAAAGCCGATATATCAACATAATACTACAGTAATATAAAGAAATTAGTAAGATGTCTCTACTAAACGAATACACGTCGAAAGTAACCGAAATAAATCATCCAGATCTTTTAGAGTAGGCTTATATAGAAAATATAAATCAAATATATCATAGTTAAAGTGGTTTAATGATTACAGGATGAACACAAAATATATTTTATATATAAGATTTCAATAATCCTATAAGAGAATTTCTAAATCTATGCATTTATGTAAATCAATTATATCTTCCCACTTTAAATATATTAAGGAGAAGCATAGTCTCGCCTTCAATAGATAATTCTTATCTAACATTTCAAAATGTACAGCAAAAATTCTAGTAGGAAACTAATTCTTTTACTCGATAATAATAATAAATTCAATGGAAATTCCCGTCTTTTTTTTATTAGATTAATGACTCAAATTGCAAAAACCACTTTTACTTTTTGTAATGATATTCACAGTAATTCAGTTGTGCTCTATGACCGCTAGATGGCATTTAAACCTAACTGTAATATACAAGGGAATGGTAATATTGTTAAAAACATAATTATTATATTTGTTTTTGTTCCCTTTTTGGTGAAAAGAGCATACAACTAATGTTAATCGATCCCTTGGTAAAGTTATATATTGTATTAGTCATAGCTTAATGATCCAATTTCATTAAGTTTTCGTACCAGAAGAAAAAGAGAAATTGAAAGCTTTTGTGTTGAAGGAAAAGAAGGAATAATTGCGAGTTAGACGTTATATAAATACATTTCTATACGTACGGTATATACTTTATATATAAAACTAAAAATGGTGAAATAACAGATGACTTTAATAAAGAAATAAGAAATTCAAGTTGTGAACTATAGGATTAGTTTAATAGATTAAAATATCGATTTGAATGGAAATGGCTAGTATGACTAGTCAAAGCTTCTGAGTAAACAATTTGTATAGATATAATAGAAACAAAGTGACTTTAATAATGAACATGTAAATTTATACTAAATTATCTTATATAATGTATATGTATATTTAAATAATTGTATATTCAATAGGATTAATTGCATGAACAAGTGGACAAACAATCAAATATGCATATAAATATCTCTTTCTCATTCTCTCTCTCTCTCTCTCTCTCTCTATATATATATATATTGTATATGCACATAGCTATAAATATAGCGTATACATTGTGCATTATTTAGAGTCACTTGGAACCTAACCGTTCATTCATCCTTTTAGCGAAAACTCTTAAATTTCTTCTGCACGCCGTTGAAACTTAAAGAGTTCTAAATAGCTTTCGGGAAAATGATTTTGACCATATAAATCTTGCACGAATTCATCTAGTCTCGTTTGATTATAAGTAGTTAATTCTCTTTCTTCTTCATCTTCACCTTTGTCTCTTGTCCTTCTCTTTCGTTTACAATCGTTTTCATGATATTTAAAGTGTAATTGGGACTATCGAAAAGAGATATGCTTTAGAATAAAACTCAGTTAATTAATTGGATATAATAGGTGAGATAGAGGGAAGAGATTAAGATCCTATGAGAGATAATTATAAGTGTTAATGAACTGGGTAAATATGCGTCTCTTTCACAACAAAAGTAACTTTAAGATTTATACACAAATCAGAAAAATCTCATTTTTCGATATAAAGAAAGGAGGCAAATAATTTGAAACTTTAATGAATTTTATGAATAATGAATTAGATTGTACAGAAAAGTTTTAATTAAGAAGGAATAAGAAGAAGAAGCAAAGGAAGTCATCAACTGGAATATACTTAATACATAGAGAAAGGGATTAGTAGAAAAGTTTTGCGTTGTATTGTTTATCTCAAAATTCTATTTACAGTAGAATGTAAAGTTAGAAAGCATAATAAAGAACAAAGAAAGGAAAGGAAAAGAGAATTTATAATTTTATGTTCAGTGAATTAAGTAAAACGGTTCAATTCTTTACACAACAAGCAAACGTCTCGTTCTGTCTTTATTATTAACATATTTATATTATACAGTAGATCTCAAATAGTATCTGTCAGTGTCTTCTTCTTCTTCATCGTAGTTCTCGTCTAACCTCTTCAAGCAGCCTCCTAATGCCATCTATCGTTTTAATTAAACAATTCTAAAGTTTTAATAGAAAAATACTTACCAGTTGCTGTCAAAGTAAGTTTCAAATCAGATTGTTGGCCACCTTTCCAGCATGGAAATAACCCGCAGCTGACTTTGTACATTTCCCCTGTTAATCGATTTTTTTCGAAGAATTAATAGAGTGTTTGTCCGAGAATTTTATTTCTTTATATTTTCTCATCATAAAAGAAGAGTAGCTAAGTTAATGTTTACTCTATGTAATACGATAGAATCTACATTGTCCAGCCTGTTGGTAGACTCGTGACAACGATGCCAATTGAGCTTGTTTTTAAATAGAATTAAGCTAGTTGTATTTTATCATGGATTTCTCATTCTTCCATCCTATTCCTAGAAATCTGCTCCCTCATACGCAATACAAATTATGTCTAGCTGAATAGGCCCATTAGAATAGACGTCACTAATTCCTTTAGTTTTCTTTTATAAAAGGGTTGAAACATGATAACATCAGTAATCATTTTTCTATCTTTTTATTATTAGCCTAGTGAAAATCGTCTAAATTGTCTTTTTTCCTTATTATATGAGTAATAAATAGCCTTTTAGTTTTGAATACTTTTTAGTAGTAGCCCA